TTTTGTTTTTCTTATATGAATTTTGGCTTAGAGCTGTAAACTGCGAACTGTAGATGACTTTTGGACTGTGGAAAGCAGATCAAACAAGTTTTGTTTATTCATGAAGCCAGGCCTGGAAGTTAATTGTAGAGGTTGATTCCTGATCAAAAGATTCTGCAGATGCTTCATCACCATGGAAGAGCATTATGTTTAAACATATAGTAGAAGTTGGCTATTATTGTGAATTGGTTCCAGCAAATGACAGATGTTGAATGGTAACTGGGACCTCATGGAGGACAGGATCAATCTGCTAGGGAGTCGTCAGAATTTGGTTTGGATTTGGACTCTGTTTACTGTGAGAAAGAGTCTGGCTGTTGATGCTACACCACGGAGATATGAAAGCTCCCTGTCTAACCTCCCATGAGCAGTTTTTGGAAGCTCAGAGAATTGAAAATTAAGTTATCTGTATTGCTGCTTTATCTGAGTGAACTGTAAAGATGACTCTGATCAACATCTTCAGAAAATCAGCCAAGATCCACCATTTATGCCCATGAAATGACGTGTTGTGAAAACCACTGTAATAATCTGGCTAGTTTTATGGTGTTTGTTTTTTGTGTGATTGGAGCTAAAAAGGAGCCTTGTTGGCTTTAAAGCCTAGATTAGTTGGATTACTTTGTTTAATTTTACTCTGCCGAAGTTACTATATTTTTAATAATGTGCTAAGTCTTTGGTTTAAGATAAAAACTAGTAACCAGAATTGATTATTCACTCACTCTGGGATTGGTTATTTCAACAGTCTGATTAGGAACCATTGAGGTCCATTTTGAGGGTCTTTGAAGGTTTTAATATTATTGTGTTGTGAATAGAGGTAGAAAGGCTGATTTGATTCAGCTGTCTGTCTCCATGTCATAACGCTACACCAAATGATAGGCAGCAGTTCGAGATGGCAGTTCACCACCACCTTCTTAATGACAATTAGGGATGGGCAATAAATGCTGACCCAACCAACAAAAAAACCCACATCTGATGAATTAATTTCTTTTAAAAAAGCATTAAATGAATACTTTTTATCTGTCTTTACCAAAGAGGAAGATCCTACATATACCATGGTGAAAGTTGAGGAAGTTCATTTCTCAAAGGGTTTATAATTTACAAGGAGAAGGTATTGAATAGACTGCTTGTGCTTAAAGTTGACAAGGAACATATCCATCCAAGGATGGTGACAGAAAGGAGAGTGGAAATTGCAGAGGTGCTAGCAATAATTTTTAAGACTTCCTTGGGGTCATGTAAGAGGACAGGAGATTTGTAAATGACACACCCTTGTTGAGAATGCCAAACATCTATAGATTAGTCAGTTTAACATCAGTGGTTGGGAAACTTCTAGAAACAATGACTTGGAGTAAAATTAAGAGTGACATGGACAAATGCAGGTTAATTGAAAGGGTCAGTATGGATCTGTTAAGGGAAAACTACGTATAATAACCTTACTGGAGTTTTTTAAGTTAACAGAGAAGGTTGATCAGTGTGATGCTGTTGATTTGCTGTACATGGACTTCTGGAAACCATTGAATACAATGTGGAATAAAGGGAACAGTAGCAAAGTGGATGTAAAATTAGCTGAGTGATAGAAAACAGCGAGCAATAGTTAATAGATGCTTTTGTGGGCTTTTGATGTGGGCTCGAGGAAGGCTTGTAGTGGAGTTTCCTGGAGTCAATGTTACGAACCTTGCTTTTTTGTGAAATATAAACACAATATTAAAATTTTTTGGACGATATGGAGCTTGGAAGCATTGTAAACCATGAATAGAATATTACAGAATTTCAAAAGGGCATTGACAAGTTAGTAGAATGTGTAGGTAGATGGCAGATGAATTTTAATGCAGAGAGCTGTGAAGTGATGCAATTTATTAGGAAGAATATGGAAAAGCAATATGCAATAAAGACTCCAACACAAAAATTGTGAATGAGCAGAAGGACCTCGATGTTATGTGCATAACTCAGTAAAGGTGGCAGGACAGGTTGAGAGAGCAGTTTATAAAGTGTATTTTATCCAGGCTTTACTAATAGAGGCATAGAGTACAAGAGGAAGGAGGTTATTTTGAACTTATAAAGGACACTAGTTAGATCTCAGCTGAAGTTTCATGTACAGCTCTAGGAGCTGTAATTTAAGAAGACTATGAAGGCATGAGAAAGGTTGCAGAAGAGGTTTACAGCAATTGTTCCAGACATGAGAAACTCCAGTTACGAAGCTACATTGGAGAAGATGGGATTCTGTTCCTTGGAGAAGAGAAAGTTGAAAGGAGATTTGATAGAAGTTTCCAAAATCAAGAGGGGTCTGGCCAAAGCAGTTAGGGATAAACTTTTCCACTTGTAAAAGGATTGAGATGGAGAAGGCACAAATCTAAAGTAATTCACAAAAAGAAACAAGTGCAATGTGAGGAAAATCTTTTTCACACAATGGGTTGTTTGGGTTGGAATGGACTCCTGGAAGTTGATAGAAGCAGGTTCATCAAGGCATGCAGGAGGTGTTTTTGTAAATACATGTTTGTGTTGTTTTAGACATGTACTTACTTTCAAGATAACTAAACCAAAAACTGGCAGTGCCATTTTTTAAATTGAATATACATGCTTGTGTACCTAATCTGTGTATCTGACTAAGAAATGAAGATATATATCTTTATTTAAATTTGTGTATTAAGAAATGCTTTTCCTGGTTTAATTTTTCCCTTCTGCGTAACATTCATTAGCTGCATCTAGAAACTATGTCCAGGTTTTGTCCCTTCATTTTTTGCTATCAAGACCTGAAGAGGGCTCATAGCTTAACAGAGCTATTTTAAATGTCCTTAATTAATGGCAAAGCTTTGGGGTACTGATGTTCTTTGCTGTAGAAAATAAGAACAGGAAAGGATTGAAGTTCTTAAAATAATGAAGGGATTAGATCATATTTGACCCATGTATGTGCAAGAGAACTTTTGGACATCAGAATAGTTCAGTTTGAAGTAGATCACTGTCTAATTCTAGATCTTGGGTTTGTTAGTTGCACTGTTGTACATAAATATGCAGAGCTCATTGACTAATAATCTTGTTTTCAGAGTCCATGGAGTCTCCCATGCTTTTATGAAAATTCTTTCAGAAGGTGGAATCCGAGGTCTTTGGGCTGGATGGGTTCCAAATGTACAGAGAGCTGCACTAGTGAGTCTGGGAGGTAACCTTAAAAATCAATGAGCATTTTTTTTAAAGCATTGGATATTTATAATTGTAGATTCCGCAAAATGTAAAGACATCTCTCAAAGTCGATGTTGCTGGAGTCTGAAAGGCAAGAAATCTCTTGTGTGTTATCAAAATATGATTACACAATATTCAGTAACCTTCACAACTTGTCAGATATTGAAACTGTCTTGCTTTATTCAAGCAAGATATCAGCAACATTCAGGCTTCGGCTATTATGTGGCAAGTAACATCTGCACCACACAAGTGCCAGGCAATAACTATTTCCAAAATGAGAGAATCATCATCACCCGCCCCAGTCTGACATTCAGTGGCATTACCATCACTGATGCCCTACAAGATCATCGTCCTGGCTATTACCATTACTGGAACCTTTACAGGACCAGCTATATAAATACTGTGCCTTCAAGAGCGGTTCAGAGGATCGGATTCTAAGAATTCTCTGACGGGTAACTAGTTTCCGCTATTCAGCAAACCTCTCCACTATCTGCAAGATAGAAGTCGGGATTGTGATGGCTGATTGCAGCTGCAGCACCAAAATAGTGAAATACCACCCAGAACAAAGCAGCCCGCCTGATTGGGCTCCATCCACCTACAAGATGGGTGGCAGCAACTTGCAAGTCTCCTTCAACAACACCGTTACCAAAGAAGGACAAGGCAGCAAATACCTGGGAACACCATATCTGCATGTTCCCCTCCAACTTATGCACCATCTTGACTTCAAGTGGATCACAGCTCGTTCGTGGTCACTGGATCAAAATCCTGAATTCTCTCCTGAACAGCACACTGGGTGTATCTTCGACACATTGACTGCAAAGAATGTGGATCGCTACCACCTTCTCAAATGAAATTAGAAGTGGGTAATAAATGCAAGGTTGTCAGCAATTCTCAAATCACATGAATGAATAGCTAAAATTCTAATTTTAAAAAATGATGGATTGGTGATTCTATGATGTTGGATCCATGGAACGGACTTTTAAGTGGTGATTTTGTGCAAATTCTACAGGCGTCTATGCTGATTCAAAACATTTTTGTTAAATACAAACTTCTGTTTCTTGATAAATTATGTTAAGTTGCATGCTACAGAAACAGTTGGATTATTTTACATGTCTTTTAAAATAGAGTAACCTAGTAAGGCTAGTACAAAAGCAAAATAATGTGGATGCTGAAAACCTGAAACAATAGAAAATAGTGGAAATACTCAGTGGATCAGGCAGCAGATTAGAGAGAAACTAAATTAATGTCTCCGGTTGTTGAGCTGTCATCAAAAGTTGGAAAAAGTCAAAAATGGAACAAATATCTGTACTTTTTACCAATTTTGATTGAAGTTCACTCTGGCCTCTCAACAGATGATTCCTGACTTGAGGAATTCCTGCTTCTTTTTTTGATTTTTAACTTGGAAAGACACTTAGGTTTATTTAGTTAAAATCAAGCCTTCCTATGAAATGTCTTCAGTAGAATTGAGGAAATTCATAGCACAGAGCAACAGAGTGCAATTTGTAAAGTGATAGCACTTTGTACAAGTTTGTAGCTGATTTCATCCACAATCTTCGTTCAAGCAGGACTGTTTTTAACTTTATCTTTTGCAGCATGAGTTAAATTATTATTGTCACTTCACTGTTGCTAACCTGAATGTCATGCTATAGTGAATCCGTCATCAAATGTGAAGTAAGCAGCTGGACTGGTCTGCCATCGTGCTGAAACAGTTGATTCAAAATCATAGCATTTTGTGTAATTGCTGTATGCCATATTCTTCAAAAGTAGATTTGAGTCAATGTTGAAGGCAAACCATATTCTGATTGCATATACAAGGAACATGTTCAAAGGGTGCGACATATCCCAAAATGCTCTGATAACTCGAAGTTACTTAAGTCAAATCACCTTTGCAACCTGGAAGAAAACTATTTGGTCCATGTATCTATTCCTGCTCTCCAAATAAATAATTCCCTGATGCCATTTCCACACCTGCTTTTCATAATCTTTTGCAGATGATAATCCAATCCTGGAGACCTGTTGTGGAGCAGTGCTGGTGTCCTTACCCCTAGACCAGGAGGCCCCAGTTCAAGTTTCACCTGCTCCAGAGATGTGCAAGAACATCTCTAAACAGGTTGATTAGAAAACCAGATTAATAAATTCTTTCTTGGAAACCTCAATTGACCTGGCATTCACCATTTTCTCAGGCAGTACACTCCAGATCTTAAGCACTCGTGAAAAAGTTTATCCTTATGTTGTCATTGCATCTTTTGCCTTAAATTTATGCTTTCTCATTCGCAATCCTTTCACAAATGGGAACAATTTTGTCTTATTTTTTTGAACTGCTCATAATTTGTAATACCTCTATTAGATCTCTTCTCAAACTTCTCTTCTCCAAGACAAACAGTTTAGATTTCTTTTTACCTACATTACTGCCATTCCTAATTTCTGTAATCATCCTTTGAAATCTTTTCAATGTCATTAATATTCTCAGATCTTTTTTAAAGTGTCGCATCCAGACCTGGATGCAGTACTCAAGTTCAAGACTCGAGCAGTTTTTTTGTGAGTTCAGCACGGCCTCTTTGCCCCTATTAGTAAAGCCTAGATACTGTATGCTTTATTAACCACAGTCTCAATCTTCAAAAACTGTGAACATACACACCCAGTTTCCTCGCTCATGTGCCCCCTTTAGAATTGTACCCTTTATTTTATATCATATCTCCATGTTCTTCCTACCAAATAAATCACTTATTTGCATTGAACTTTATCAGCCATTTATCTACCTATTTCACCAAATTGCAACTGTCCATTTGAAACTCTACACATTCACCTTCACAGTTCACAAGTTTCATATCGCTTGCACATTTTTAAATGGTGTCCTCCACATCAAAAGTCTAAGTCATTGTATCTTCTGACGTCAACCCCAGGGAACTCCTTTACAAATCTTCTTTGCAGTCTGAAAAGCATCTGTTAGTCAGTACTTTCTATTTACTATGTTACTACCTGTCCTTTTTACTCTGAGCTACAAATGTGTTTGTAAGTCTGTTGTGTGGCACTGTATCAAATATGTTTTGGAAGTCCATGTACACAGGGCAGCGAGATGGATCAGTAGTTAGCACAGCTGTATCACAGTGCCAGGGACCCGGTTCGATTTTCCCCCCCTCGGGTGACTGTCTGTGTGGAGTTTGCACATTCTCCCTGTGTCTGCGTGGGTTTCCTCTAGGTGCCTGGTTTCCTCCCACAGTCTAATGACGTGCAGGTTGGGTGGATTGATGGTGCTCAATTGCCCATGGTGTCCAGGGATGTGCAGGTCAGGTGGATTAGCCATGGGAAATAGAGGGTTACAGGAATAGGATAGGGGCTTGGGTGTGGTGCTCTTCAGCAGGTTCTGTGGACTCGATGGGCCGATTGGACTGTTTCCACACTGTAGGGATTCTATCAACAGCATTAATTCCATAAACCTTCTCCATTAGGTGTTTATAAAAACTCAAGCAAGTTAGTCAGACATGATTTGTCCTTAACAAAACTCTGCTGGGTTTCCTTAATAAACCTGCATTTTTCCTTTAAATCCATCTGGAGGATATGAGCTGGACCAGCATTTATTGCCTATCCCTAGTTACCCTTCAGAAGGTGGTGATGAGCTGCCTTCTTGACTGCTGCAGTTTATTTGGTGTAGGTTCACCTACTGTGCTTTTAGAGAGTGTCAAAAAATTTTGTCCCAAGTAATTATTCTTAGAAACTTCCGCACCGCCAAAGTTAAATTGACCGGCCTGCCTGTAGCTGCTGGGCTTTTCTTCAATTTTAATGGATGCAATACTTGTAATTCCCCTCCGTCTACAGCATAGTGGGAAAATTGAGTGTTAGTTGTACAGTGTACACTCAGAAATGTACAACTAATTATTGGATCTCTGTAACAAGTGTATAATTCAAAATATGTTACTCATTTATATATTCAAACGTGTAACAGGAATTCAGTTAGGAAGAGGAGTGCATGTGTCAGGATTGGGAAGTCCAATAAGATTATTTTGTAAAGAATGCTTGTATAATCCAACACACAATGGATTAAGTATCTTTGAAGTCTGTACTGTCTAGCAAACAGATGTGATCTTGCAGACTTGAGTGTTCAATTTCCATTCGACATAATGCCCACATTTAACTGAAAATTATGTAACAGTATGTTTATTACAGTGAAGTATGACAGTATGTAATATAATTAAGAAAATAGTTAAGCAATTAAATTGGAGTAAAGAGTCCAGTTTTGAATTTTAAGTGATAGGAAATGTAACCCATCTTTATTTTATAACAAACTTTTAATGTTGGCACTACAACTTTGGTTGAAATGATAGCTTATTATAGTTTGACCTCAATCATTTTTGCTGTCTACGAAATTCTGCTTGATCCAGTGCATTTTATGATTTTTTTTTTTTGAACAGAAAATATGTGACAACAAAGGGTTGAATGATTACTTGAGAATCAATCTCCTCAGACTGGGGAATAGGGAAGTTGGATATGATAGGAACTGGAAACCACCTCATCTGCAGAACCTGTAGCAGAAACGGTCTCTCTCAGATCAGTTTCTTCAGCCATCAGCAGTAGAGCTCCATTTAAAACTATCCAGCAGCATTGGATTTGATGCATGTCCATCATCTTGCATAGATAGAACAATCTCACTGCTAATGCTGCCATTGTGAACTAAACAGATCAGTACTTTCTCTGGTCTGTGCTGAGTCAGTTAATCTCATTTGGGCATCTAGTGTCAGCAATAATTGCTTAGGTTTAAGAAGGAAAATGAAACTGAATTTCTCTGTTTCTGATCACTGTAGTGACTCCTATTGAGAAGTATATATGTACAAGCATTGGGCAAGGACAATGATCAGCCCTCCAACCACTGTTGACCGAGCTGCAATATTCGTAAATTAAGCTCACATGTAAGATTGAGTGTTTGATTACAGTGGAACTGTATCCTTTCATGAAATATCATCAGCTTCAATCAGGACATGAGAAAAAAATTCCAGAAGTAGAAATGTATCATTACATCCTATTTCAAAAGAGAGAACAATCCTGCATCATTTGTTTTTAGCAACACGTGCAAGTGTGTAATGAAATTGAATGTTTATGAAGTTACTACCAGTACCTGTAAGCAGATGGGATCAGTTTGGTAGATACCCTGTACTTGCTCATCAAGACCATGTCATTAAACAATAAATGGAGGATTATCTTCCACAAAAAAGTGCACTGCCTCTGTCATATTATACATTCCTCTGTCCCCCCTTTGCATTTTAAATTTTGTAACCTTTTTATTGATGATTTTGTGCTTAGATCTAACAACATATGATACAGTGAAACATTTCTTACTACGTCACACAACTCTGAAGGACAACAGCTTATGCCATGGCTTATCAAGGTACCAACTTTTTCTTAAAATTCTTTCATACAGCTATGTTTCCGTATAAAGTAGGTGTTTGTTTGTTGCAACTTATCACCCTGCAGTACAGTGTATATTTTCTGTAAGTACTGTGGTGACTGGGCATGTTTTATTTATGATTGCTCATGTATGATTGATACCTGGAAAAAGAAAAAAAAACTTGCAAAAATCTTCAAGCCAAACCTCTTCAATTTGACATTTAAGTATTTTCAGTTCTACCATTTTTCCATAATCATTTTGCAATTTTATTAAGTGTAAGAAATTGTTTAATTCATGCTATTTCCTATTACATAAGACTCAAATGAAAAACATTTACAAAAACAAGGTATTGACAATGCTGGACATCTGAAGTAAAAGTAAAAAATATTGGAAATAGTCAGCAGGTTAAGCAGTATTTGTGACAAGATAAACTGGATTAACTTACGGTCTACAATCTTTCATCAGAATTCTAAATCTAACGTGTGAATTATTTTGGATTTTCTATTGCTTATTAAAGCAAACTATTGGACAGATCTCACAAATTGTTTTGATAGTTTCTTTCAAGGGCTTAGTGTTCAGATTTCTTTTTTCTCATTATTGTTCTGTATTGCAAAGGATTTAAAGGATTTCTAAAATTGTCTCTTTGAAATTACAGCTCACTTCATGTCAAACATTACTAGATAACTTACATGTTTGGCCCAGCATATTTTTCTAATACTCTAACTTAACAGTGCATTTCTCTTTCAGTTCTTTTTATTTTTCTAGAAAGACCTTTTGTTGCCATTTTTGTTCCTGTATTGTTGTAGGGGTGGGATAGATTTGGAATCCTTTCAATCAAGTCAAAGACTGTTTCTTCCCCTTCTGGTGTTACTCTTTTTCTTTCACATTTCTTTTATCCCCACTTAGCCCGTTTGCTGCTGCAGCTACTGTTGCACTCCTGCAGGCCATGTTAATGCAACTGTTTCATTTGTCAGAGTCAGCAATGGCCATGTTTCCCTGCGACAGCACTGTTGTGAAATATATACATCTTTCCCAGTGCAAAGGCTTCCCTCACAAATTTAAAATTGTCCTTCAATTAAGTTATCACTCTAATTCTAAAACTAACTTGCGATTTTTCTTTTTGAGAAAATTCACAAGGGCTTTATTCTATTGGCCATCATCAGAATAGTAGTGAGAAAAGGCTGAACATTGAGCCCTTGAAAGAAAGACTCAAAATAATCAAATTTAAAGTTTGTGAAAGGTATTTAGTCAATGGAGAAGTGTTAAACCCTGACAAGTAATACTGCAAAATTTTCATTACGACACTTGCATTTACTGAACAAGAAATTAGTCTTCGATTTTCTTACTTGACAGCAACCAGGTGCTTACACAGATTGTAAAAAGTGATGTGGAGTGTTAAAAGTTTACAAATTAGGACCCTTTTTTGTTTTAGAAATCCCACTTTTACCACAATGTCCTAAACTGTTCCCAATGTGGAATAAGATAATCAGAATAAACTCAACAGGGATAGCAGGAACTGCAGATGCTGGAGAATCTGAGATAACAAGGTGTAGAGCTGGATGAACACAGCAGGCCAAGCAGCATCAGAGGAGCAGGAAGGCTGACGTTTCGGGCCTAGACCCTTCTTCAGATTTTTTTCTGAAGAA